AAAAAGAAAAAAAAGGCACAAAAAAATCCTAGGAGCATTGGGTCCTGAGGGCATAAGCAGAAACAGCCCCTGCACCACACAGTAGCAAAATGCAATTGCAGCTCTGTAACACAGCATCATTACTACCTTATAACCTACAAAGAACATTACTCCATTTGAACTGAATATTTGACCTGAGGCTGCCAACTGTATTAATTTACAATGAGCAAAGCACTATTTCCTGAACAGAAGGAGAATCAAATGGGAGATGTTTCCTTTGTTCACAGGTTTGAGACTTTTCCCACCAACTACACATTAAAAGTTGCATCCTTTACAGACTTTTCACAAGCCTATGTGCCCTAAGTTTGTTATTCTGTTTTCTCAGGCTTTCATTTTTTTAGTGGCAGTTATCACTACGTCCTCACACTCAGTTCCACTGCTTCAATAAGTCCTTCATCCCTGAATTTACCAGATCAAAGAGTTGACCTTTGGCTGTATAGCTAGTTACTATTTGCAGCTCTGGTGAGACATTTTTCCAGATCCCCAATGACCCAGGTTTCTATTAGCAAATGACTTTACAGCTATTCACTGGGTTTATTTATGTACATGAAAAACTGCTACTACCTCATCAGTTTCAATAAATTTTCTCCACCACCAACAAAACCTAGAATTCCTTCAGCATCCCAAGAAGTTGTTATGTCACTGAAGATTAACTAAGGGGCAGAATATTCAGGAATATGTGTACACTGCTCAGATCTCCTGGTTCATCTTGAATTGCTCAGTGACAGCTCAATATTTAAATAACATAAAACAGAAGACTGGCTTCAGAATTTTATCCTGGCACAGATTTTTCTGCACACTTATCTAGCTTCGTAGAGATCTCTCATCCAGTGACAGGACAAGAGGCAATGGTTACAAACTGAAATACAAGAAATACTCATCTGAAAGAGGTTATGCAGAGAGCATGCTAAGCCTCCATCCCTGGAGTTATTCACATTCCAACCAGAAATGGGCCTGAGTAACCTGCTCTATTGACCTTGCTTTGAAAAGAAATGATCTCCAGAGGTGCTCGCCAACCCCAATCCCTCCACAATAAAACTTACAGATGCAAATCTGCAGACACAGTGCTGCACAAAAATCCTCATCATTAAGTGGTAAGCACTTTTCTGAAAGTGCTGTTCTGAAGATATATAGTCATCCTATTGTATTTTTAATCAGCTATATCAGAGTTCATTCCTTTCTCTCAGTTTTTCCTCTTATAAAGAAAAACAGGAAATTGCAAGGACATTCAGTCATAAGTTTTCATCTTTGGTTGAAATTCAACATTACCTCTCTCGTTATGTCAGCACACACCTCTGGATCCTGGATGTCTGGATTACTGCCTTTTAGATAATTCACTCAATACCTCCAAATTCCCTTTTGCAACCCAGCAGATCATGCCGAGCAAGTCAAGCACTCAGAAACCATGTATTCTGACTGTCCTTCCAGGTATCCTTCCTTTCAGGTCTCTCCCAATTCCTGCACTCCTCAAGTTCTACAATTCTTTCAAAAACTCTTAAAAAACACATGTAAACACTATAGCCCGTGTTGAGTAGTTGAGAGACTTGGCCCTTTTATTCGACTGCCAAAACAGCAAGATAGAGAAGTGAGAAACTATCCAAGGAGTATCAGTCACAAAAATGTTTTCAGTGTTCACCCCACTCCTCCACACACTTTGATTAATGAGGCAGCTAGACAAAGTCAAGCAATGTCTCATGTGGCTTACAGTGACTTATATCTGATCTTAGTCAATATCCACTGTATGTTCAAAGCCACTATATTTAAAAATAAGGCATAAAAAAATTAGTCATAACTTAAGACACACCTCAAATCTAACCAGCTAAATCTTTTCACAACAACTTAAGAAAAATTCTCCATCCATAGAAGACTTGCATTGGTCTGTAAGTTGATCTCTTTGGGCCACCAATTTCAGAGAATTTCAAAGCAGGGTGAATCCCAAAGGTAAGTTAAAATATATTTTAGGTTACATGTGTTAAATGCCATGAGAATTATCAAAGATGTACATTGTAGAACTCTGGTCACATGTACACCAAAGAGTACCTTCGCCTCTTGCTCCAGAAAAGGAGAGAAATCAAAGGAACTAGTAAAAAGTTAAACTCAGCAGGGCACATTTTTATGGCAGATACAGAACTACAATCCCCCTGAAGTCAAACAGCAATGCATCAGTTTGACTTAACAGAACTTGGCACAGAGCACAGTTTTCCACTGCTCATTCTGAGTACCAGCTCATGAAATGCTCCATCTCTCACTTCCATATGGCTACATTTTAGCAAGATTATGCTAAATAAAATATATTCTTTCATATCTTAGCATCTCATTGTAAGCATTTAATTGATCATAAATAATGAGTCAAGCTGTATTCTCTATATCTTTTTCTAGGGTTCTGTTTTCCATTCTATGTTCATATTCTCTCTCAACAAAGCCTAACAGGGCAGGATCTATCTTAGCCCTTCAGTGAGAGGCTTTCCACTGATTTCAGCAGATTCTGCATCAACCTCCTTCTGTCAAGTTTATAAAATAATTTCTTTTATAAATTTATAACACATAATTTACTGGCAATTTCACTTGGCTCCTGTCAAGGAATTTGGGATACAAATTATTTTTAGGTACATTAGGAGACAAAAATGTATTTAAATCAATAAAAAGAGAGACCCACAAATGAAGAGCAAAACTGTACACACCTCATTCTAGTAAATGCAGTAATGTGTTTATAGAAATGCTGGGTTCTGGGCAGGCATTTGGCTTCTACAGCAAGGCAAAGTACAGCTAGGCACACAGAAACATGAACAATGCACAGCATGACACAAGCACCTATGTAAATTACGACCAAACTGTTCAAAAGTCTTAGAGGTGGTTTTCCCTGGCACAAATAAAATAAGAATTGTGAAAGAACAGGTGTAGTTATAGGCACATGCAGTACAATAATTATTTAAAAGTTAAGTAAGCAGCCAGGAAGTCACACAACATTTTCCCAGCAGAGAGAAAAATTAATTGCATGTGGTCTTTCAAGCAAAAGATTAATTAAACACAACAGGAAACTAGAAATATGCCTCTCTCAAAAATTTGACCCAGTAGGAACTGCCTTAAGATAAAATCATCTTTGCTCGTCTATAAAATGATCATTGTCTTGTCAAATCTAGAAACTAAGCAATAACCAGATTGCCTACCCAGTGATTAATATTCCCAGCATATAGTTGTATTCTTTAACTCAGTATCTCACCACGTAATCTTTGGTGTCTTCAACTAGAGGGCATGGCAAGTAATTTATTGGCTTAATTTAGCTTTATGTAAAGAAGAGGGATTATATGAAAGCAAATTTATAAAGAGCATAAAAAGCGGGAAAATATGTTTGCCACTTTGCTTGTTCACTTTGTTGGCTTAGCCATAGGGATATGTTGATTCTTCTTTTGTACTGGGATTTATTTTCCATATAAAGTACTTAACAATGTTCACTGTTCAGCAGAAGGAGATTTCAAAAATATGTTAATTAAATGTTGACAGGAATCTCTGCGGACGCCCACAAGAGCAAGATGCTCAGGAAATGTCTGCTAAGATCTCCAAATTTGTGCAGATAGGCTAATTTTGATCACATATTTCTGTATTTATTTTTATGAATCAATGCCACATCAGTTTTCTATGACCATTAATTCCAAACTATTATGCATGGAATCGTGCCAGAAGGAGATTCACAACACTGACCAAGCTGTTGCACGAGCCCTAGTTAATGAATTTAAAAATACTGCTTACAGTTTTCTTAGTTTATAGGAAAGAATTATGAAGACAAGTTGTAGTTCCTTCTGTGTATTTTTTTTCCCCTTGAGTCTACCAGTAATAAAAAACCCACTTTCATTCAGGCATCCCTTTCTGTGGAAGGGACTTCATTAGAGGTGTTTGAGGACAAAAACTATCACATCCCCCTGTGTAATACAATGATAGTCCATTCCAGAGGATAGTGGAATTATCTTCAAACAAGCCAGACTGGGTACTACTAGCAGTGGCAACGCAGAACCAGAACAGGGCAGATAAATGTTCTACAGTGTTGCATCTTTTGCATCTCAGTGTACTAGAAATGTGATCAGGAGGTAGAAGCTGTCTTTATGCACTATCCAGAACAATTCTTTAGCCAATCTGATCAATCGATCAATCAAATCAATCAATCAAAGTCAATCTGATCTTCTCAGGTACCACATGCATCACCAGTGAAAATGCTACACAATGAAATGACACAGATTACAGTCTCCACTGTGGTCAATACACTGCTGCCATCTAAAGATTATTTTTTCCCATAGGATTCTAAAAGCAATCATTAAATATGCTTTCTTTTCAAGCAAATACATTTTTCCCTAGAGAAGACATGCAAATACTGGTAATACTCTTATTTACCAAGACAATAGTTGTTTTGCAATAAAAAGGATATCTGTGTGTGTGCCCATGTCTCAATTTGTATAGTAGTACAAATAAAGTACGTCACCCTGCTACCAAATCACTAATAGAAACTCAGTCTTATCGGGTGTTCTGTAACTTCAACTTCTAACAATATCACAAGAAGATAAAGAGATTTACATTCAAAAAGAAGGCGTTTGACATGTATTCAGTGTTTTTAAAGGTGGCACATACATAATATAAACAACAATTTTGAAGGGATACCCCAAGAAGAATAACAGAGAAATAGGCAAAATAAGAGACTTACAGTCCATTACAGATTGCAGATACAATTCTTGTAACACAGATGCTGCAAGGAAAAAAGCCTAAAGCCCTAACAATTCCTACACTGGCCAAAAGGAAAATGAAAATCACAAACATAGGGAAGTCTGCTCCAGTACAGTTTATGTGTTTGGGTCCAAGCAGAAAATGGGCATAAGGAATGAATACTTGCAAAATGCTTTTTTCTCAACATCACAGCTTGACAGCCAAAGCTCTGCAGGCCTATATCAAAGCCAAAAGCAATTAAGTGTACTTACATGTACTCCCTGTGTGCAGAATGTACAGCAGCTGCGTTGCTGTAACGCCACAAAACTATCGCTGACGACAAAACATCCAGGGTAGCATCAAACTGAAAGAGATACAGAGTCAATTGTTTTGTGGCCCAACAAGATGCCCACAAATACTAACAGCAACGTATTTACCATTCTGCTGCACAGGCACAAAGCAGCTACAAATAAATCATTTTAATGAAAGTAGGATTTACATTCATTAAATTGATCTTGCCATGTATTTTTGCACAATGATGCACTTCAGAACTCATCCAGTCGAGCAAGAGATTAAGAACTTTCTACTTGTAATCCATGATCTGGATCTGGAGGAGTTTAAAAAAAAAAATAAACTGATACTGTGGCACCACAAGAGTTACAATACTGCAAATATGATTCATATGCAAAGATTCTAAAAGAAAAGTGTTTGAAAATGCCTGCCAAATATTTCTTTTCCCTGAAAATTCATGAATTTTCTTCAGTAGGACATTTTGTTTCAAAGCAAAGAACATTTCACTTTGCCAAAATCCCAGTTTGTCAAGATTTCATATTTCTCTATTTCACTCTTAAAACAGAGAATGTTTGTATTTCCAGCAAATTAAGAAACGACTTCAGGTAATATCTAAAAATTTCCAAAAAAAAAAAATGTTTGAGCCACTTTAAAAACTTTCATACGTCAAACTTTCTACAGTCAGTCTATCTTTCAAATTTGAAAGTAAATGCTAAACTGTTTGAAATCAGGCACTGTGCATGTCATAAGGAAATTTTTTGCTCTGCCACTGATCAGGAGAACCATGGCTACAATTACAGAAGGAAAGTGCTAAAGTCTGCTGTAGTTTTAGCCTCACCTTCCAGTAGGAAGGACATGCAAAGTTCAGAAGGAATTTTGCTCAAAGTTTAACAAGGGAACAGAGTAAGTTGATAGATTTTGTAGAAGATAACCATATCTGGTAGATAATTCCTACCAATGATGAGATATAAATATTAACTCCTGTGTAAGCCTCAGCAGTCAGAAACCAAAGAATTAAAATGAAAATATTTCCATTATTCCTTCCAAAGCTTTACTTCAACAGTAATTTTTCTAATCCGCCATTGCATTTGTACATGTTACCATGAACTTACAAAAAAAAAAAAAGTATTTTGTGTTCAGAAAGAGCACATGAAAAAAAAAGTAGAGAATATTTAGCTCTTATTTCTACTTACAGCAAATCCAAATGATGATGCACTGTATCTCATTACGGAGACAGCTAAAGGAAAGAAAATTATTATTTAGAATCATTTAAATATTTTATTTTTTTTTATTTATTTATTTGTTTGTTTGTATCCTTTCTTCTCTCGGCTGGAAACTAGAAAACTAGTTTCAACACATGGACTTAGCTTCACCCAGCTGCTACTAGAATAACCTGCCCAACACTTAGAAAAAGGGTACGAGACCTAGAGGTCATCAAGAGATGCTTTTCTTTCCTTCAAAACAGTAGTGGGATAAAGTTTAGCAGAGCATTCAGAAACCGGTGTTTATGAAGTATGCTGTCTTTCAGATGAGGTTCTGAGTAAAATAACAACTTCAGACTTTTAGAAAAATTCCCATCCCAAAGTGCTTTTTGCTCCACCAAGGCACAAGAGCCCACCTGACCACCAGCTGGCTGACATGAAGTTATGCAGGCCCATTCACACACCTTGTCTGTCATCTTTTTGCCAAAAAGCCTATGTGTTATTCACACAGCCACAAGAAATGTTTCAAATTCCACTGAATCAATGATTTCCAAAAGCAGAAGTAGTAATGGGAAACATTTTAACCAGCTTCACTTTTGACAGCGTTTTGCCTCTAAATTGACTCTTTAAAAATAGGCTAAAGTTTAGGAGGAAAAAAGGTGTCGTTTAGATCATTTGATTCTATGCATCCTAGTTCCACCCTAGTTCACAGTTTCCAGTTGTAGACAGTGCTCTGCAAAAAAAAAAAAAAAAAAAAAAAAAAAAAACCACCCCCAATAGCACAGAGGAATCCCAACAAAGAAGCAAAGAAGAGAAAATGCCATCACTTGGATCTGGGACTGCATCAAACTGCTTTTGGAGGCCAACAGCACTGCTATGGCTATGAGCAAGCCCCCAGGCACCGAGCAGCTGTGGTTTCCTTGCTGCATTTTGCAGACTGAGGGTTGAGAGCAGGACTAAGTGAACCTGTTCTCCCTGATCAAAGTGCACACAGCACTCGAGTTGCAGTACTAAAGCTGACTATGAATAAAGCACAGGATTAATTTTACCACTTTTTCATCAACAGCTATCTGCTAGTTTACTATTAAAAGTACATTTTCATAAAAATAAAAATACTTGAGCTAAAAAAAAAAAGACTCAACAACTGTCAGTCTCAGGCTGACAAAAGCAATGGCTAGTTTTCAGTATTTCATCATTCATTAGAACAGCTTGGCAGAACAGAGCTGCTGTGGGATGACTGTTCTTTTCAGTAATTGCAAGCTACAGCTCTGTGGTACTTATCTGAATAAACAGCAATTAAAATCTTGGAATAAATAACCCTTTGTTTATTCATCTAACATCTAGCTCTGGACACATGCATGCCATATATCACAAATATTTAGATTCTCGTTACAAAACATGAAGAAAAGTCAAGTTCCTTTCCAGGTTCACTTTTTCTCAGTTGTAAAGTATTCAGACAGTAAGCATGGATTTACATCTCCCTCTCACTACTAAATCAAGACTTCCCACCCTTCATCACTTAGGTGAAAAAAGAGCCTCTATTTCTTGGTCAGACTTGCCAGGCAAGAGCTACACTTGACAAGCTGACGTGAGCCTGCAGTGTTCCAGCTGCAAGTTTAAACACTTCATGGCATAAAAATATGTTTCCCATCAGATTTCCATTGCATGCTTCCTTAGAGACACACAGCTTCAAAAACTGGAGAAATCGCACTACCAAAACTGGGCATTCACAGGTACACACAAAATTGCTCTGTTCTGGGAGTTATTGCCTTTGTACTCTAACATTCATTCAAAGCCATACTTTCCTCCTATTTCTACTTCTAGACTGCCTTCAAAGTGGAATTCACTTGCCTCTTGCTGGCTAGTGAATAAGAGTGGCAGAAAAGACTTTCTGAGGGCTGGTATCCCTAGAAATCCCTTGTAAAATGCTACAATAAAAGACCAAGTGCTAGAGATCACTGACAGAAGGGCTAGGGACTCTCAGTCCTTGTGCCTCCAGTATAACTGCCATGCTCCATGAGCTACACACAGCATTGCAGGAATGGATTAAGGAGCTCTTGCTGAACCCTCATCCCAGCCCCTCCTTTCTCCTCAATGCACATTCTCAGTTACTCTCAGATGAGCTTCTGATGTTAAAAGAATTTAAAAAAAAAAAAAAATTAAAAGATTCCTAATCTCCATATTAAATCAGGATGACAGGAAACAAGCAATAAGGAAAGAGTAGCACAGTAGCTTAGAAGTCCCGTGGAGCCACAGTGTGCATTTAGCAGCTATACTGACATGTCAGTGGGAGCCTGTGTTTAGCTGTTCTATCGGCTAAACTGGCCAGCATTTCATTACCTCTACAACAATGCTGATAATCCTAATGCATTTTCCTGAAATTTGTAAACAGAATTTGCAAGCGGTCAGAAACTAAAAATAGAGGCAGCACAGTAAGACACAAATCTACCACTGCTTCTACCTGGACAGCAACATCAATTTGTGAGGTCTGCCAAAGCACAGGTCAAATTTTCCTATAATTCCTTTATTCCCACCAAACTAATTCCAAATAAAGAAAAATACTCCCTTAACCACAAATTTCTTTCATTCCTGTTCCTATGTGCCTCAGAAAAATCCTATGGTCAGGCCCCTAACAAAATGGCACCAATGTAAGCCCCCAGCTGCCTGGTCTCCTGTTAGCCTTTGCCAAGTTCAACCATCTCAAATGTGCTCCCAGAGATTCTGCACTCACAGGAACCCCAGGGCTCTCTGTTATCTGTGTAGGGAGAGCACCTGGTACCTTTTTGTACAAACAGATAAGGCAAGAAAAAGGACAGAGAATTAACTCTGCCTCCAGTTCTCCCAGCCAGACATCTTTGCTTTGCCATGAATGGTTCACAAAACCATCTCCTCTGTCTGTCAGAAAATCTTCTGTTACCTACTTGGAGAGGGGACACTATTTTTGGGAAGTTTTTGGTGGGACATAGCAGGTTCATCTTAACTTTAACCTTTTGACAGATACACCTGTATGCCTGCACATAAAATGCTGGGGCTTCAAAACACACGACCTTCACTTAGCAGAAATCAGTTGATCATTTAAACATCACTGAAAATGTCAGGTTTATTACTATTGTAGCACTGTGCATATCTTGCAGGTTGTGCAGAGCAGAGCGAGAGGACTGGAAGCTGTACTGCATCAGAACTGGAACTGAAATACAGCCTGGTTTTAGATCCCAGTGTTGGTAAAACATCAAAAATAAATACTTCAAAATAATTCCATTCCAAACCTGGGAAACTAAATGAGAAATACCTTTTTAAAAAGCCACAAAAACGTTCCCCCCACAGCAACCGAAGCAAAGAACAATCACGGCTCTATTGCCATTAAAACTTGATGTAAATTCAGCTGATGTGTGCCAGTACCAGCTGGTACACACTTATTTCCCCAGGTACCTTTTTTCCCCCCACATAGAAATTTTACTAGAGTGAAATAAATGGAGTTTATGCGCACGCCCACAGTTCCTGCAATATGCTACAAATAACCATGGCACAGCCAGGATCTGGGTGATGACTGCCAGACATTTAATCTGCATGGGCAGAGCCAGTGCCATCCATCAGCGTTATGTACACGTCATCAGTGGCAACAACATCTTCTGGGCATGTCTTCCATTCATACACTCATGTAATAGAATTTTTTGTTTGTTTTAATCTATTGCAATGGTAAAATATTTAGCAACTACAGATTTCCATAACATTCTTGACTTCTGTAAATTACAACATTGTATATCATTTATTTTCCCAATTTACTAATAAACAGTACTCTCTCAGAGTGTTGTGAATTGTTTAACCTAAAAAGTTACTTCCAATTTGCTGACATCTTTGAAAAAATAATTATTCTTATCACCTCTGATTCTCAGACCTCTTTTTCTGAAACCATTTATTTTTCAAAGCTTCAGTTTCATAACTTGTAAATAACCTACTTATTGTGGTTCTTGCAAAGAATAAAACCAATCAGTTCTCCCTTAATTCCCTTTGTTCACGCATTTTCTCAGAGTATTTTTCTTGCCACTGCATCACTGCCTTATGGTGAAGTACCGTGAAACTTCCATTTCCAACAATAAATAGCCACAGTGCTAGCTTTCAAGCAGGCAGTGTGGATACAGTTTTCCCAAAAAGACTATTCAGCATACCATGGTGCTCACCAGTTGCAGCAATCTCAAATAGCAAAGCTGTCCAGACTGAAAGTTGACTTACTCTCTTGATTCACTTCAAATAATTTGCCTTCATGTTCCTATTTAGTACTAGAAGAGCACCCTGCACCAGGGGAGGGTCAGGCTGGGTGTTAGGAAAAGGTTCTGACCAGAGAGTGGTGGTGGTTATGGAATAGGCTGCCCAGGGCAGTGATAACAGCCTCAAGCCACAGGAGTTCAAGAAGTGTTTGAACAGTGCTCTCAGACATAGGGTTTGGATTCTGGGAATTTCCTGTGTGAAGCCAGGAATTGGGTTCAACGATCTTTGTGGGTCCCTTCCAACTTCAGATATTCTGCAATTCTGTGATTCATGCTTTCACTGGCCCGTGCCACCAGTGAGCACACCAGCTCTGGAACTTAGCAGGACTGAACTATGCTCTCTGGTTTTTAGATCATGAACTATGAAAAAATCCTAATGAATTACTTTATAAATGATGAAAAAGTTATCCATGTGGAGAGAACAATCAATCACTTTTGTCTACAGTACACACGATACAATTCCCTAGAGAGTACCAGTAATGTGAAAAGCAAGCAAACAGTGAATGACAAAGGGACGCAGATCAAGAGTAAATCAGTTCCAGATTTCAGTAGTAGTAATGTCTCTTCTAACAGCTGCTGAAATTACTCCCATAAACAACAAGCCTTGCCTGACACACTTTGGTGCATATAGCACTAAAACCTGATAAATCAAATACACCACAGCAGTCTGGTCCATGTCATTCTTTCAACACAATGAGGCTAAATTACATGAGGAAAGGGAAAGCCTTTTGAAAAAAAAAAAAAAAAAGAAAAAAAAAAAACAAACCACA